AGTTGGAGATGAAGAGGTCGAGGGAGGGTAGGAGGCCTTGGGGTGGTGTCCTGGAGGAGGGGGTGTGTTGGAGGCGGGAGAAGGGGTCAGTAGAGGGAGAGTTAGGCTCACGGTTGAAGAAGTAAGCGTGGAGGCGGAGGCGGCGGAAAAACTGCTCAATGTCCAAACGTGACCGGTATTCGTTGATGTGTGGGTGGAGGGAGACAAAGGTGAGCCCTTTACTGAGGACTGACCATTCGTCCTCAGTAAGGGAGAGGTCTGGGGGGATGGTGAAGACTCAGCAGGGCTGAGTGTTGCTGTCTCCTCTGGAGCTGCTGGTTGTGGAGGCTGTGGGCGGAGCGACGTCGGTGTCAGCTGTGGGCGGAGTTGCGTCAGCGTCAGCGGTGGGCGGGGTTGCGTCTGCGTCGGTGATGGGCGGAGCCGTGGGCTCGTCAGCATGGATTTGTGCATTGGAAGTCATGTCTGACAAATATTTTAGAGATTTTTAAAGAGGTATCCAACAGGATGGATGAGGGTAGGACAGTGGATGTTGTCTATATGGACTTTAGTAAAGGCCTTTGACAAGGTCCCGCACAGCAGGCTAGTCATGAAGGTTAGGTCACATGGGATCTAGGGAGAGCAATCTAATTGGAATCAAGATTAGCTCTATGGCAGAAAGAAGAGGGTGAAGGTTGAAGGTTGCTTATTGGACTGGGGGCCTGTGACTGTGCCACAGGGGTCGGTGCTGGGACATTTGTTATTCGTTATTCACATAAATGATCTGGATGTGAATGTACAAGGCATGATTAGTAAGTTTGCGGATGATACAAAATTAGGAGGTATCATTGATAGCAAGGAAGGTTATCAAAAATTACAGAGTGATCTTGATTCAGATGGGAAGTGGGCTGAGGATTGGCAAGTGTAATTCAATACAGTTAAGTGTGAGGTTTTGCACTTTGAAAAGTCAAACAAAGGTAGGACTTATACAGTAAATGGTAAGGTCTTGATGAATATTATGGAACAGAGAGACCTAGGAGTACAAGTACATTGTTCATTGAAAGCGGTGTCACTGGTGGACAGGACGGTGAAGAAGGCATTTAGCATGCTGGCCTTCATTGGTCGAGGCACTGAGTATAGGAGTTGGGATGTTATGTTACAGTTGTATAAGTGATTGGTGAGGCTGCACTTGGAGTATTGTGTACAGTTTTGGTCACCCTGTTATAGGAAAGACATAGTTAAACTGGAAAGTGTGCAAAGAAGATTTATGAGGATGTTGCCAGGACTATTCGGCCTGAGTTATAGGGAGAGATTGACCAAGGGTAGGAGTGTAGGAGAATGAGAGATGACCTTATTGAGGTGTACAAAATCATGAGGGGCATAGATAGGATGAATGCATATATTCTTTTTCCCAGGGATAGGGAATTGAAAACTCGAGGGCATAGGTTTAAGATGAGAGGGGAAAGATTTAAGGACCTGACAGGCAACTTCTTCATGCAGAGAGTGGTGCGTATATGGAATGGACTGCCGGCAAAAGTGTTTGAGGCAGCTACAATAGCAACATTTAAAAAGCATTTGGATAGGTACGTGGATGGGAAGCATTCAGAGGGACATGGACAAAATGCAGGCAATTGGAACTAGCCGAGTCGGCACCATGGTCAGCATGGACCAGTTTGGGCCAAAGGGCTGTTTCCATGCTGTATTACTCTACGACTCTATGACCAGTGGAAAAGTTGTCAAATCTGTGTCTATTAAGCAAACTCAGCTAATTTCTTGAGCACACTTCTTGCAAGAATCAATGTTTTCTACTTTAACATAAAGTATTTCTACATAAAACATAGATTGAATTTAGAATAATTGGTTAAGCACAGAAAGAAATAAACAATTTTAGAAAGACTAACCTCATTGTAATCCCCTTTACAGTCCTCTTGTCCTTCTTTTTCTTCCTTTTCTTTCTTCACTTTATGTTTATGTTTTCGCTCTCGATCTTCCTTTCTTTCCCAATCTCTTTTGTCTCTGTCTTTGTGTTCTCGCTCTCTGTCCCTAAACTCTAGGGTAGAATTTTTCATATCTTTATTCCGTTGTTTTTTCCCATCTTCCTTATATTCTTTTTCTTTTCTCACTCTATGTTTCCTGTCCATTTCTTCAACCGCTGGTTTTTGAGCAGGCTCTTTTCTTTCTTTATGTCGCTTTTCACGATGTCCATCATGAGGTCCATATTCCTTGTGTTCCTTGTATCGCCGATCATAATCTTCATCTCGAAATTCAGAAGACCTTCTTTTCTTCTCTTTGCTGTCTTCAAAATTCTGTTCAGGGCAAGCATATTTTCATGGGGCATATTTAGTTTTATTTTCTAAGGAAAACTGAGTAACAGTTTCATCAATAGCCTTGACTCATTGGTTGAAACAACTGCAAACCAAACATACATGTTCGATCTGCTGCTCTAATTTTAGTTTCACATTGCTACCTCATTCTCAAAACAAAACTAATGTTGTCGAATGGAATAACCATTAAAATGTAATAGTTGACAGGAATAACCAGGGAATTCATCATTTATTAACTTAAAATCCATAAAATATTTCTAACAAGGAACAATTGTATAAAAATGTAATGACAAATTAATTAAATCAGGGCAAAGGTAATGGAGAAAGAATTCTGTTGGCAAGGCAACTATGCCACTATTTAGAGTACCACACTCCTTGATCTTCCAGTAACAAGTTTACACTGCAACAAGCACAACAATGGATCAAAGGCTGAGTGCACAATGGAAATTCCAAATTATTGATTTTATGGCAATGTTTATTTGTTAATAATAAAATTAAATATTAAGCTCAATTATGGTTAATGTTATAACCCCAAAATACTGCGAACATTTTTAATATATCATTCCAAAATGCTGTTTCAAAAAAAAAAAGAGGTCTGATAAAATGGCTGTGGATGTATATTAAGTGGCTGCTTAGAGAGAAAGAGAGAGAGAGAGATGGGATGTAAAAACCTAAAAATATCAAAGATACTTCAAACCGACTACATTATAATCTTTTATGACAACAAGGATAAGTAGGGGCTATTTGCCCCCTACTCAACAGCAAGCCACCGCCGTGAATTTTATTGGAATTTTTCATCAATCTGTTCAGTGATGTTTGACACACATCTGGAGCACATGGGACTTGAATTTGAGACCTCTTGGTTCAGAGATAGGGACACTACCACCTTGCCACAAGAGACCTCTTCCCTGTGGATTAGCTTCAAATTGCAGACAATTTGTGTTTATCCCTTTCAAGAATACACCAGGACAGGGTTAAAAAGCCAGCTACAATTTGACTGGAGCAGAGAAATGGGACTGAACATTCTCACACGCAGCCTCAAGTGTTAGCGTGCTGTGATAGTCTCAGTCAAAGACCTACCCCCTAGCTAACCCCATGCTGTAAATAAAGACCCTGCTTCACTCCACTGGTTGCAAAAGAGTTCAGAGGAATTAGGATGAAGAAACTTCAATCGCCTATAAAACCAAGAATCCCACAAAACAACTCTTCAAGTAACAACATCAAGATTTCTGGTAACTTCCACTTCTACTTCCACAAGGCTTAACTGTGAATTGTTCAAGAAAAGCAGAGAGGCTGGGAGCCGTATATCTCTGTTTTAAAAATTCTTATATGCTTGGATTCATTTCTAATTTGTGCGTAGCATTATTAATTCTTCTCACTTTCAGTAATCAATAACTTTTTTGTTAGTTCAAGGAAGTCTGGTCAAATTGGTTCCTTTTAAAATCTAAATTAATTTGGTCTGGGAGAAAGTATTCATAAAGGAAGGGATCCTTTTGAAGCAACCTTCTTGCATCCAACCAGGGGAGTGGTGAGTAAAGAAAGGGAGCCAATTCATCCCTCCTCATCCAGGAGCTTAACAGTTTGATGCATACCATTTGGAACCATAATGAATTGGGACTATTGCCATACGTGATTATAACAGTAAAATTAAAAAAAACTAGTTCATTACTGACACCAACATTATGGCCCAGATCTTATGGCAGTGAAAAAGTTATTCCTCTGAAATGGGCAGCACCTTCCACAATCTGCACAAATTTGAAATAGAGAATGCAGAAAACCAGAAGTTGCTGTCAATGATTCTATGCTTCCTCCATATGATTCACTACTGAAGCCTTCACAAACAGCAATGAGAAGTCACTAAACCACTTTTAGAATACTGCGTTCAATTCTGGTCTCCCTACTATAGGAAGGATGTTGTGAACATTGAAAAGGGTACAGAAGAGATTTACAAGGATGTTGCCAGGGTTGAAGGGTTTGAACTATAGGGAGAGCCTGAATAGGCTGGGGTTATTTTCCTTGGAGCGTCAGAGGCTGAGGGATGACCTTATAGAGGTTTATAAAATCATGAGGGGCATGAATAGGGTAAATAGACAAGGTCTTTTCCCCAGGCTGGGAGAGTCCAAAACTAGAGGGCATAGGTTTAAGGTGAGAGGGGAAAGATTTAAAAGGGACCTAAGGGGCAATTTTTTCACATAGACGGTGGTGCATGTATGGAATGAGCTGCCAGTGGAGGTGGAGGGTGGCATAAGTACAATATTTAAAGGTGTCTGGATGGGTAAATGAATAGGAAGGATTTAGAGGGATATTGGCCAAATGCTGGCAAATGGGAGTAGATTAATTTAAGATATCTGGCCGGCATGGACAAGTTGGACCGAAGGACCTGTTTCCATGCTGTACAGCTCTATGACTGTAATAGAAGAATCCCCCTTACCAACATAATAGCACTGTTAAAAAAATTCTGCAAATATAAAAATAACTGCAAATTCTGTCTTATTCATGAGGAGTAACTGGGTTTTTAAACAGCATACCAAGTAATTACTACTGTTGAAGAATCTCTCACATGCTGGAAAACAAATGTTATATTTGTGAAATGTCAAATTTTTCCACGATAAAACACCCCATCATTTTCTGTAATCAGTTCTGACTGGACCACTTAAAATGCCATCCGAGTCCTGAACTCATCAGCCAAAACTTTTCATCAGGCTTATTTGATCTACTGCAAATTACAACGTTAAAACCTCTCTCCCTTGGCCCCGTAACCCTAACTTCCAAAAATGCAAGCAGCTCATGATGATCTTTGTTATTAATTTGCAATCATCTAATGAGCTGCTTGTATCATTTTTTTCCCTCCACTAGCCCACCCAAACATCACCTAATACAATCCTTTGTCCTTCTCTCCTTTACATTTTCCATCATCAATCAACTCTTCAAACAAACAAACTTTGATTCTTTCCACAATCCTTGCAAGTCACCATCCCATCTTCAACCTTGCTTTCTTCTGCAAAGTTTTTGAACAAGTTGCCGCCTCCCAAATTCATTCACACCTTTTCTAGAACATCATGCTTGAATGTATTCAATTACATTTTCACCAATGCCATTGTACTGAAATAGTTATCAAAAATCATAAGTGATTTCCAATGTGATTTTGACAAAGGAAAACTTTTCCACCTTGTCTGTCTTTTGCCAATATTGAATGTACTTTGAAGGTGGAATCACTCATTACTGGTGCACACAAGATTTCGATACGAGCTGTTGACCATGATACACCACATGATACATGCCCAGAATTACCTGTGACACCAGCCTAACATATCCACATCTGGCGAAAACATAAAAGGGCAGGTTGTTCTTTGATTTTAAAACAACTTTGGCAAAGGCCGGAGAATAATTTATACCTCTCTATCAATTTAGCAATAGCGGATGGCCTGTGAAGGCAGGACAATGGAGCAAAAAAATTACAATGAGGCACAATGGATAATACATTTACTTACTTCAGTGGTTCTCCCTTCCTTTTCTTTTCGCTCTCGATGTTTTCTTTCTTTTCGTTCATATTTGTCATCCATTTCAAATTCCAAATTTTCTGAAAGACAAGGGGACACTAGAAACGCATGTAAGGATCAAACTTTTCCAAGAAATTGATCAGCAACTACCAGGTTGGTTCTAACATGTCATACGATAAAATTACAGCAGCAAAACATTTGCATTTACAAAGTACACAAGCTGTTTGAATGGAGACACCGAGTCTGTAATACTTGCAGAGAGGTGACATAACTCAATCTGTAGATGTAAAATACGTTGGTTTTGACACAGTCGGAGGAAACCTACCACAGGACAACAGACTTCACCCTTTATTTCTCTGAAATCATTCTGAGTGAAGTTTGAGAGTTGAGAAACCATTGGAAGACCTTGGACAGAATTTTCCAAGCCCCTGATCAATGTGAGACAGTTGGGAAAATATCGCAAGAATGAAACATGAGAAACCTAATGTCAAGAAAATAATTAAAAATTTTCCACACACAGTTTTCACGGCTAAATGGCAATCTCATTAGTGAGCTGCAAGGAGCCTATCTGCTTGCATTAACCTTTCATTTCAGTGATTTTCACCTATTTAGGTGAAATCAGCTGGTGCCAATTCCACAGCAGTTACCTGTGGGGCCCTCTTGTGGCACAGTGGTAATGTCCCTACCTCTGGACTAGAAAGGCCTGGGTTCAAGTCCCACCTGCTCCAGAGCTGTGTAATAACATCTCTGAACAGGTGGATTAGGAAAAATAAGTCTAATAAATCAGTTAACTAGTGACTGGAGCACACAGTGTCTTCACTGGGCCTCCATCATGGTCTGCATTCCTCAACATCTCAAGGCATGCTCCATGGGCAACAGCCACCTGAACTTTACATCCTCAGAGGTTGGTAATTGCAAAGTACCAGCCTCCGTACATTATCATGACACACTTTGGACATGCTTATAATACAGTTCAGCATTTCAGTGCTGCAACTTATAGCTCACCAATACCTTACGTGGCAATGCTGCTTCCAAGTCTTCTGTGCACAGGGTCAGGCACCTATCTCGTGCATCACAGGGTTCCTTTCTTGCTTTTTCAGTGCTTATTCACTTTGGACCTACTTGGATGCTCACAGCATCACTGCCCCACCTTTCTGCACACTGCCACTTCATTCAGAACATTGGGACTTTCACTAATTCTGGTTTGCCTTGCCTTTTAGTGCAGACAGAAAGCTTGTCATATTTGCTGGCACTGGGCAGAGGGGATGGACATGACACAAAAAGGCATCATATTACACAAATGTCACACCTACACCATGCCCCAGCAACTTAGGCTGCAAACGCACTGAGCGCGCATTAACCAAATGGCCAAGTCTCAAAGCCTAAGGGGTCCAGTTCTTAACGTAGTCAAGCAGGGCTTTCGTCAGTCAGGATGTGCTGCCATAGTCAGTCAAAGGCATTTCCTGTTCTCAGCCCAGCAGCTTGGATACACTAATTCCAGGGACGTTTAGGGCCAGGGATCCTTCTGATTATAGTCACAGAGTGGACCACCGTCAGACTTGTAGGTTGTGTGCAACCAGTCGAAGATGAGCAGTAAGTCAGTTAGGAAACGTACAGAAATCAGTCAGGGATCTTTTTGATCATGAGTCAGATCTGTCACTCCAAGTCATTGGGTTGGGAGGGGGGTTGCTTCTTGGGATCTGTTCACCAAAATTCACATGGTTATAAGGGGCCACTGCTGTGGTGGGGATGTCAGGGAAGTCAAGTGTGCGAGTGGAGGCAGCTTGCTGGGATGTAGGGGGGGCAATAACAGTGAAGGGAGACAACTTGTAGCATGAGAGGGCACAGGGTACTACAGGAGGAGGCTTTTGATTTCCCTTTCCACCATCCTATTTTCAGTGGGGTTGGGGAATGCATCACAATGTTTGGCTTAATTAAGTTCAGGCTCAGGAGGTAAAATGGAGAGATGAACAGTTAAATATAAAAGGGTTGAGTGGAAATGTGGGGTGGCTCAAACTTGATGGGGTTGACTAGATAGAAAGGAACAGGTCTGGGAAGCAGTAACTGTGGCTGACATGCTGAGCATGCAACTCACTCTCTGTCCACATGTGAATTCAAACATACAACAAATATGTGACTGCCACCACACCCAAAATGGTTATAGTGTATTTTTTTGGTCAGAAGGAGCAGGCTCCACTTGAGAGAGGAGAAGACCTTCAAGAGCAATTGCATTAATCAGGCACTGACACAGTACTGGTTAAAGACTTCGATAATCAAAATTCTGTACATGCACCTCATGCAGTGACCAATTACGTCGAATAAAAATCCTAGGAACAATTAATCTTGGCCATGATGTTGATCATTACGAATCAATTCAGTAGGGGAGGCAATGGCTTAGTGGTATTATTGCTGGACTGCTAAGCCAGAGACCTAGGCAATGTTCTGGGGACCCAGGTACAAATCCCACCATAGCAAACGGTGGAATTTGAATTCAGTAAAAAAAAAAAACTGGAATTAAGAATCCGATGATGACCTTGAATTTATTGTTGATGTCAGAAAAACACATCTACTAATGTTCATTAATGTCCTTTAGGGAAGGAAACTACCATCTTTACCTGGTCTGGCCTACATGTGACTCCATACTCACAGAAATGCGGTTGACTCTGTGCAATTAGGGATGGGCAATAAATGCTGGCCTAGCCAGCACTACCCTCATCCTGTGAATGAATAACAAAAAAGTCTCGAATGAGTGATTATGAAATTCAGAGAGCATATTTGGATAGTATAGTGGGAGGAACAGACTGGACAAGATCCAACAAGAGGAGATGCTGCATGCAACAGTGAGAGTGCTACACCATGTTTTGGTGCAGGAGCAGAATTTGCGTGGCTGTGAGGTAGCAGAAAGATGATGGTGGGACTTTCCCTCATGGAGCACAGAAGGTCATTCACCTTCTTGCATGCATGATCATTTCTCTGGACTGTGGACACTACACTAACCCAGGTGGCAACTTCAGACCTGGCTGGCAGAGTCTGATATCATGGTCTCCTTTGGCAGTCCCGAAGAAAGAGGGACGATTTCCTGTGCAGCACCCATTCACGGGGATATCCAGGTCCCTGTAAGCAAAGCATGGTGCCAATTTTTCTCTTGCAGCTATGTCCTGTGTAATTTTTCACATACTGAAACTGTGAAGGTTAATTCCTGGTGTGCAGCATTTGAACATGTTCATTAACAGCTGGGTTCAAATATGGTGCCAGTGACAGGAATGCTGACAGGTCGGAGGAGTTGCAAGCCCTTCTGCTGGTGAGCACCAGACCAATGCTATGGTGTGTATTTGATAAGATGAACATTGCAAAATTGAGAGAAGATGCACAAGAGTTCACAGAGAGAAAACCTCCACAAAACTCCCCAAAACTGACACTTTGTCAAATTTTTGGAAAATTCAGTCACTCATCACTGCAAGTGGATGTTCTCACTGGTGAATTCTCAATTACACCACTGTCTCAAGAGGAGAAATCAACCAGCCATACCTGATCCAGAGGAAACTGCAATATGGAATCTGACTAAAGCTTGCGTGGAAAGTGACTCTGGCTGCAAACCAATATTTTAACAACACATAAATTTATTTTTTTTCTGAATTTAACTGACCTAACCAAAATACCAAAGAACTACGAATGCTGGAAATCAGAAACAAAAACAGAAATTGCTGCAAAATTCAATAAGTCTGGCAGCACCTGTGGAGTAAAAGCAGATTTAATGCTTCAGGTCCAGTGACCACTATTCAGAACTGTTCTGAAGAAGGGTCACTGGACACAAAACATTAATTCTGCTTTCTCTCCACAGATGCTGCCAGACTGCAGAGTTTTCCTAGCCATTTCTGTTTTTGTTACTTGGACAAAATACTTTTAAGATAACACTCTGCAGAGTTTTTTTTCCCCCAAGCTTGATGTCTTGTTATTTTTCATGAATTTATTTGGTAGTTGTACATTTTGAACCTCTTGTGAATGTTTTTGTATCTTTCTTTGAGCAAAATTAGTTTGCAATAAACTATTTGTTACTTGTCCAGGTAAGAAACCTGACTAAAATATTTCTGAGACTGAGATAGACACACTAATTGGCAAAATCACATCCCTTTTAAAATATAAACCTTGCTATGGCCAGTGAAGTGGGTCATTAAAAGGAATCAGTTGACCCTCCTAACTGGGTTCTAAAATAAGGTATCAGCAAATTTAAGGCTGACAGTTATTCTTCACCAGGGTAATCAGGATTCAGAATTGACCTTGAGTAATGCAAATAATAGTTGAAGCACCAAACAAATGTTCCAAAGGGGAAATTTGAATATCATTCCGAACATACAAGCTGACGACTGCCAAATTCCCTCATCCATAAGTAACTTGGAACTGACACAAAGAGAGGAAATTAATATTTCATAACAAACTAGGGATCATAAAATCTAATGAATAAGCTAACTCAAGAATGGCTTTATGGAAATTTTTCCTTAAAAGTCAAGCACAATATCTTTTTAATGAAAAGTACAATGCCATAACTTTGCAGAAACGGGCTCTCATTAATTTTGAACATTAAATACAAATCTACCTTTATCTCTTTTCTGCCGATGTTTAGGTCGCTGGTCACCAATTTCATCTTTTTGTATCTCTTTTTCCTGGAGTTTCTCTCTTTCTTTTCTCCTGTCTCTTTCCTTATCTCGGTGTCTCTCAGATTCATGTTCTTGTTTTGTTGATCTCTCTGTGTAAAGATCCCATTGTTTCTCTTTGTCATGACCTCTTGTATCTGCACCATATTCTAGGTCTTGATCCCATACTGGAATCTTCTCTTTATCTCTATTCCTATCTTTATGTCTATCTCTTTCCTTTTCTTGTTTCTTTTCTCTTTCTTTATACTTTTCATCATTCTTTATTTTTTTCCGTACTTTTTCATACTCTCTTTCTCTATATTGATCTCCATCCCTTTCCTTGCCTTTGTTCCTCAGTCTGTCTTTATCCTGCTCCCTCTCCTTATCTCGTTCCCTTCCCCTATGTCTACGCTCCCTAGAGTCAGAGCTCCCAGTAGATTCTTCATCCTTAAGTCTTTTCTTTTCTCTACTCTTTTTACTATTGTCATCTGTATAATCTCCTTGGACGGCCTGAAATAAAACAAAATAGGAAAAAAAAATTGCATATAAAACCATCGAATACTTCTTTGAAAAGGAAATTCAAACTGACAATTCAAACAAAACAATTTCAAATAATGAGAACTAGATTGTGCCAGATTTGTGAAATTAAGTGCAGTCATGTCTCATCGCAGCTCCAATAGTTACACTTCTTCTGTCATCAAGTACTATTGAAATTAAGGGCACAGAGAATTTCTGCAGACGCAAATTCTTGGGTCCCAAAATCAAATTCTTCGATTCCAGCTGATTCTCCCTTCTCCCTCAGCCATCATATTAGGCCATAAAACAATAAAATGTAGGAGTAAAAGTCGGCCCATGAAGTCTGCTCCACTGTTCAGTGAAATTCTGGCTGATCTGATAATCCTCAACATCATTTTCTTGACTTTTCTCCAAAACCGTCAACTCTTGAACTGATAAAACCAGTCTCAATTTTGAATATGCTTAACAAACCAGTGTCACCAGCCCTCTACAGTAAGCAATTCCAAAGAGTCACACCATCTGAAAAAGGAAATTGCTCATCTTCATTTTAAATATGCAACCTCCTTACTCTGCCAAAAGAGAAAACAGACTCTTCACATCTACCTTGTTAAATTTCTCAATTCAAAACTTCAATGCATACAAGTCAACTTGCTCAAGTTCTCCTCAGAAGAAAATCCCTTCATACCAGTGATTTAACATAGTGAACATTCTCTGCACTTCCAACTCCAGTATATCTTTCTTTAGAATAAGGGGAACAAAATTGTTCACAGCATTCAAATTGTGGTCTGACTAGGGTCTTGCATGGCTTAACAAGACCTCCCCATTTTTACACTCCATTCCCTTTGAAATGAAGAGGTGGAATTCCTGGTGTGCATGCAAGATTTTTTTCTGGATCAATACGTTGAGGAACCAACTTGAGCACAGGCCACCACAATTAATACTGGGTATTATGTAATGAGAAAGGAATAATTGGCAAACTAACTGTGCAAGGCCCTTGGGGAACAGTGACCGTAATATGATGCAATCTTTCATTAAGATGGAGAGTGATGTCATTGATTTTTAGGCTAAGATCCTGAATCTAACTAGAGGAAACCACATTAGGCACAAGATGGTTATTATAAATTGAGTGGTACTTAAAGGGATGGCAGTGGATCAGAAATGGCAAACATTTAAATAGTGCACGGAGGAACTGCAACAATTGTTCATTCTGTCTGGAACAAAAATTAAACAAGAAAGGCTGGACGGCCATGGCAAACAAGGGGATTTTGGGATAGTATTAGATCCAAGGAAGAGGCATACAAATTGGCCAAAAAGAAGAGCAGACCTGAGGATTGTGAGCAGTTCAGATTTCAACAAAGGAGGACAAAGGGATTGATTAAGAAGGAGAAAATGAGTACAAGGGTGAGCTTGCAGGGAACATGTAAACATGATTGTTAAAGCCTCAATAGGTATGTAAAGAGAAAAAGGGTTAGTGAAGACAAATTAGGTCCCTTACAATCTAAAAAAGAAGACTTTAAAATGGGGAACAAAGAGATAGCAGATCAATTAAATTTACATTTTGGTTCCGTTTTCACAAAGGAGGACTCAATGATGTCCCCAAAAATGTTGATGAAAACATGGTTTTGTGAGAAAGAGGAACGAAAGGAAATCAGAATTAGTAGGGAATGGAATTGGGGAAACTGATAGAATTGAAGGCTAATAAACCTCCAGAGCCCGATAATCTGCCTCCCAGAGTACTTAGGGAAGTGGCCCTAGAAATAGTGGATGTATTGGTGATCACCTTTCAAGATTCTGTAGACTCTCAAGTAGTTCTGATGGTATGGGGGCTAGCTAATATAACCCCATTATTTAAGAAAGAACAAAAGAGAAAACAGGGAAATATAGACCAGTTATCCTGACATCAATAGTAGGGAAAATTCTAGAGTCCATTATTAAAGATTTGATAGTACAGCACTTGGAAAATAATGACAGGATTGAACGGTCAGTATTAATTTACGACAAGGAAATCGTGCTTAACAAATCTAATGGAATTTTTCAAGGAAGTAATTAGTAGATTTGATAAGTGGAAGGCAATGAATGTGGTTTACTTGGACTTTCAGGAAGCATTCCATGAGATCCCACATAAGAGATAAGCATGGCAAATTAAAGTGCATGGATTGGGAGTACAGTACTTACATAGACAGAGATCTGACTGGCAGACAGGAAACAGAGTAATTTTCTGTGTGGCAGCCAGAAAGTGGAGTACCTCAGGGATCAGTGTTTGTAGCCCAGCTATTCACTATATGTTAATGATTTAAATGAGGAAACTGATAGCAATATCTCCAAGTATGCAGATGACACCAAGCTGGGTGCAAGGGTGAATTGTGAGGAAAATGCTTTTATGAAACAAGTTGAGTGAGTGGGCAAATGTATGGTCAATGAGGCATAATGTGGATAAATATTATCTACTTTGGTAGCAAAAACAGGAATTATCTGAATGCTGATGGATTGGGAACGAGGGAGGTAAAACATGACCTTGGCTCCTCTGCACACCAGTCGCTGAGAGTAAGCATGCAAGTGCAGCAGGTTGTGAAGATGGCAAATGGTATGCTGGTCTTCATAGAGAGAGGATTTTAGTACAAAACAGGGATGCCTTGCAGTCACTGTACAGGCCTTGGTAAGACCACACCTGGAGTATTGTGTGCAGTTTTAGTCTCCTTTTCTGAGGAAGTGGAAGGACTGACATATGAAGAGAGACATGATTAGTTAGAACTATATTCACTGGAATATCAAAGAATGAGGGGAGGGAACTTATAGAAACCTATAAAATTCTAACAGGACTAGACAGAATGAACACAGGAAGGATGCTCCCGATGGGGGAATCCTGAACCAGGGGTCACAATCTAAGGATACAGGGTGGGCCATTTGGGACTAGGATGACGAGAAACTTTTTTACCCGGTGGGTAGTGAGCCTGTGGAATTCTCTGCTACAGAAAGCTTTTGAGGCTAAAACGTTCAATGTTTTCAAGAAGGAATGAGAAATACTTTTAAGGGCTAAAGGGATCAAAGGATCTGGTGCAAAAGCAGGAACAGGGTGATTAGCCATAATCGTACTGAATGGTAATGGAGACTCCAAGGGCCAGATGGCCTACTCCTGTTCCTCTTTAATGTTTATATGTTTCTATTACCTACTGGAATTGGATGGTAGCTTCTTGTGAATAATGCACACAGACCCCCAAATCCCTGTGTTGCAGCTTTCTGCAGTCTGTCTACAGTTATATAATAATTTAGTTCCTCTATCTTCCTGTCAAAGTGCATAAATTCACATTTTCCCCACATTATACTCAATCTGGCAGGTTTTTTGCTCATTTACTCAACCTGTCTATATCCCTGTACTCTTGTGTCCATGCTCACCGCTTGCTTTCCCATCTATTTTTGTGTCATCTACAAACATGGCGATAGCACATTCACTTTCCTCATCCAAATCGTTGATAATATATTGAAAATAATTATGGTACCAGCACTGATCCCTGTGGCATACCACAAGTTTCAGAATGGCATCATGAAAATGCCCCCTCTGATCCCAACTCTATCTCCTATTAGTCAGCCAATCCTCTACCCATGCTAATATACAACCCCGAAACCATGGGCTTACCTCTTATGAAGTAGCCTTAAATGTGGTACTTTATCAAACTCCTTTTGGAAATTGGAATATACTAGATATACTGGTTGTCCATTGTTTGTTACGTCATTAAACTCCTGTAATACATCTGTTAGGCACGATTTCCCCTTCGTGAAGCAAAACTGACTCTAGCTGACTATATTATATAATTCTAAATGCTCTGTTCTTACATCCTTTAGAAATGCATACTATGATCAATATAATTCCACTTGACAACCTCCTCGCTTCTCATTCTATGATTGCCGAATAGCTGCTGGATCCAATCTTCTCCAGAGTTGGCTCTGAATCTTCAGAACAATTTGTTAACAAACTGACTCTACACTTTCTGCAAGTCAAAGTAATTCTATCACAGGATCCCACATTTCAATTTTGGAATGTTTAATTTCTTCTTCCCATCCAATCATTTCACCCCATCCTCCATGAATACACCAAGTCTTGTGCATGTGTAACCCAAACTTGAGTCCATTTTTTCGCAGGAATTGGCTTCCATTCCTACTCAGGCTCTACTAAGTGCAATCAGCTTGCACTGTTGCTCTCTCATGCAGCAACCCCAAATCCCTTATCTTTTCTCCCATCAACCTTCATCACCAAGATATACCTCAGCCACAATGACAACTCATAAGACCTTAACAATAATCTTTCTCAAAGAAAGGGATTTAATTATAGTTTCAGTTAGCATAAATAAATTGCTTAGGGTTGGTAGCTGCTTATTTTTAAATTAATACTATGAAATGTTGTTTCAATCATTTTCTTAACTTAAATAGAATGAATGAAACAGCATACTTAACCAAAATATAGGAAACTGATGACAAAAAACTGCTTTAAAATTAAATATAAACGAACATCAGGATTCCTGAACATCACTACCAAAATGAATCAATATATACGAAACCAATTCAAGACTCAAGTATGATTTGTACCTGAAAATTTATCATACAAATTAATCTTTAAGAAAATGCTATAAAGAAACATATCCCAAATAATAATTCTGTAGTATCAAGGTTTTTGGGAAATTGACCCATGAACAATCAACTTTTACAGTCCTGACTGGCCTATGACAGTATTGTATTTTGCAATTAAAAGCAATTACCTTGATATGCTTGAGCAGCTCATCTGATTTCCAAGTATCGTCTTTGGTTTTCGTCTAAAAGAAAAGTAAAATTAAACATATTTAAGAGGCTATATAGACAACCTGCAATTACCAGGAATCTGAACCAAAAAAACAGAAACCACACCAAAATAAAGCAGATCAATTTGGGAATTTGAAATATTTATGTAGGTACTTCAAAAATCAAAATGCAGTTGTGCATTAAATGTACATCTTGCTAGAAAATCTACATAAACATTTATCACTCATGTTTCCTTTGCTTGAAAGCAGAATGGCCCACTTTTTATTTATTTATGGAAGCAAAAATATAATGTCTAACTCTTTTTACATAAGATTAAGGGAGGAGCAGAAAGAGTGAAGTCTACAGAGGGAGAAAAATGACCTTTCGAAGTTCTCTCAGTTTTAGTGAATTTAATAAAACATCTGGAATTAAGAATCTAATGATGACCATGAAACAATTGTCAATTATTGGAAAAAACCATCTGGTTCACTAACGTCCTTTCGGGAAAGAAACGGCCTTCCTTACTCTGGGCAATTAGGGGTGGGCAATAAATGCTGTCTAGCCAGCGATGCCCTCGTCCCATAAATATATTTTTAAAAAAGCAGCATAGTCAGTGATTAATTTTATTTAATCTCCTGCAGAATCAGTTTGGAGTGGGCAAGAAACATAATCTCCAATCTAAAAAGTAGTACAAATAAAATGCCAAACTGTCCTAATTCTGGTTACATTTCATTTTCAGATTCACTGCATCTGTCTTCGTAAGATCCTAAAACTAGATCCTGGTCCCAAAATCATTTATAGTTTCCTCTATTACCTTAATTTATTATGTATGACTTATGTCATTAATACTGGCATTGTGGTGTGGTGACTTATAGAACTTTTCACTGTATTTTCCATGTAAAAGTAGATATGACAATAAATTGTTATTCTATTCTGTTTTCCATCACTGGAAAATAGATAGACTTTTACTTGTTAAAAAATGAAATTATTTATAAATCTGATTTGTTAAAGTTCATACATCAGCACATTATTTTGCATCTGTAACCAAGTGTAATCATAAAATACAGGGCATTTCTGAGTTAATCTGAAAAAGCCAGGCAAATTCTAATCACAAAGCTCCCTCATCAAAATCACATGTGCCACAATTTAAATAAGGTAGCAAAAGAACAGCATCTGCCACTTGTTCTTGCCAACCAAATTTCTAGAGCATTTCAAAAATGGACCCTGTTAGTCACAGAGTCATAGAGATGTACTGCATGGAAACAGAACCTTCAGTCCAAGTCGTCCAAGCCGAACAGATATCCTAAATTAATCTAGTCCCATTTGCCAGCATTTGGCCCATATCCTCTACATCCTTCCTATTCATGTACCCATCCAGATGCCTTTAAATGTTGCAATCGTACCACCCTCCAACACTTCCTCTGGCAGCTCATTCTATACACGCACCATGCTCTGTGTGTGAAAAAGTGGCCCCTTTGGTTTCTTTTAAATCTTTCCCATCTCACCTCAAACCTATGCCCTCTAGTTTTGGACTTCCTCTACCCCAGGGGAAATACGTTGTCTATTACCCTATCCATACCCCTCAAGATTTTATGAATATCTATAAGGTCACCCCTCAGCCTCCGACGCTCCAGGGAAAATAGCCCCAGTCCATTCAGCTTCTCCTATAGCTCAAACCCTCCAACTCTGATAACATCCTTGTAAATCTTTTCTGTACTCTTTCAAGTTTCGTAACATCCTTCCTGTAGCAGGGAGACCAGAATTGCACACAATATTCCATAAGTGGCCTAACCAATGTTCTGCACAGCTCAACATGACCTCCCAACTCCTACACTCAATGCACTGACCAATAAAGGCAAGCATACCAAACACCTTCTTCACTATCCTGTTTACCTGCGACTCCACTTTCAAGGAACTATGAATGTGCACTCCAAGGTCTCTTTGTTCAAGACACTCCCAGGACCTTACCATTAATTGCATAAGTCCTGCCCTGATTTGCCTTTCCAATATGCAGCACCTCACGTTTATCTAAATTAAACTCCATCTGTCACTCCTCAGCCCACTGGCCCATCTGATAATGATCGCATTGTACTCTAAGGTGACCTTCTTCGCTGTCCACTACACCTTTTATTTTGGTGTGACCTACAAACGTATGAACCATACCTCCTACGTTCACATCCAAATCATTTATATAAATGACAAAAAGCAGTGGACCCAGCACCAATCCTTATGGCACACCACTAGTCACAGGCCTCCAGTCTGAAAAGCAGCCCTCCACCACCACTTTCTATCTTCTATCTTTCAGCTAATTCTGTATCCAAATGGCTAGTTCTCCCTGTATTCCATATGATCTAACCTTGCTAACGAGTCCACCATGAGGAACCTTGTCAAATGCCTTACTGAATTCCATATCGATCACACCCAGTGCTCTGCCCTCATCAATCCTCTTCGTTACTTCTTCAAAAAACTCAGTCATTAGTAAGACACAATTTCTCAAGCACAAAGTCATATTAACTATCCCTAATCAGTCCTTGCCTTTTCAAATACATGTAAATCCTGTTCCTCAGGATTCCCTTCAACAACTCGCACACCACTGATGTCAGGGTCACTGGTCTATAGTTCCCTCGCTTTTCCTTACCAACACCTTTCTTAAATAGTGGCACAACGTTAGGCAACTTCCAGTCTTCCAGCACCTCACCTGTGGCTATCGATGATACAAACATCTCAGCAAGGGGCCCAGCAATCTCTCCCCTAGTTCCCACAGAGCTGTGGGGTACACCTGATCAGGTCCCAGGGATTCATCCACGTTAATGTGTTTTAAGACATCCAGCACTCCTCCTCTGCAATATGAACATTTTTCAGGATGTCGCTGTTTATTTCCCCACATTCTCTATCTTCCATATTGTTCTCCACATAAACACTGATGCAAAATACTCATTTAGTATCGTCCCACCTCCTGAGTTCCACACACAGGCAGCCTAGCTGATTTTTAAGGGGTCCTATTCTTTCTCTAGTTACTCTTTTGTTCTTAATGTCTTTGTAGAATCCCTTTGGATTCTCCTTAACTCGATTTGCCAAAGGTATCTCATTTCCCTTTTTTGCCCTCCTGATTTCACTCTTAGGTATATTCCTACTGCCTTTATACTCTTCTAGGGATTCACTCGATCTCTGCTGTCTATACCTAACATAAGCTTCCTTCTTATTCTTGACCAAAACCTTAATTTCTCTCTTCACCCAGCATTCACTACTCCTACCAGCCTTGCCCTTCACCCTAAGAGGAACATACTGTCTCTGGACTCTCATTATCTCATTTTTCAAGGCTTCCCATTTTCCAGCCGTCCTTTTACCTGCAAATATCAGCCCGCAATCAACTTTTGAAAGCTCTTGCCTAATACTGTCAAAATTGGCCTTCCTCCAATTCAGAATGTCAACTTTTTGATGCTGTCTATCCTTTTCCATCACTATTTTAAAATTAATAGAATTACGGTCACTGGCCCCAAACTGCTCCCCCATTGATACCTCCATCACCTACCATGTCTTATCTCCCAAGAGTAGGTCAGGTTTTGCACCTTGTCTAGTGCATCAGAAAATTTTCTTGTACACACTTAACAAACTCCTCTCCATCCAAGCTCTTAACATTATGGCAGTCCCAGTCTATGTTTGGAAAGTTAAAATCCCCTCCCATAACCACCCTATTATTCTTACAGATAATCGAGATCTCCTTACGAATTTGTTTCTCAATTTCCTGTTGACTTTGGGGGATCATTAGTATGTTTGCAAAAGACTGAAACACAGCATTCTTTGTAGAATATCTGGGGCCCGCTTGAACGAGAGAAGCAACTGTGTTTTTCCTTAATCAACCAGGATTGAAAAAAACTGTTAATAAAGAGAGTAGAGTCTGACAAGGAAATCCAAATTAGCATAATGAAATTAATTTCATTTTAGGTAAAGAAAGCAAAAGAGAGAAAAATAAATTCTCTGAAGTGCAAGGAAAGAGACAAAGAAATGCTTTTAAAAATTAGTTTACATTTTTAAAATTTTCCAGTGACTGAGATCTGAAGGAATGAGATCCCTGACTGATATAAGTTAATTTCCAGTGGGCATCGTCCAGTTTGTACCTAAATGACAATAAATCATAAGCATCACCATTATTTTCATAGTAAATTCTTACGCACAGAAAGATTAGGTGATCACAGACTATATTTACTCCTGTCTTCAGGAATAGTGCCAGAAGACTGGAGACTAGCAAATGTTGTCCTCTTGTTCAAGAAGGGGAGTAGAGACAACCCTGGTAATTATAGACCAGTGAGCCTTACTTCGGTTGTGGGTAAAGTGTTGGAAAGGATTATAAGAGATAGGATTTATAATCATCTAGAAAGGAATAATTTGATTAGGGATAGTCAACACGGTTTTGTGAAGGGTAGGTCGTACCTCACAAACCTTATTGAGTTCTTCGAGAAGGTGACCAAACAGGTGGATGAGGGTAAAGCGGTTGATGTGGTGTATTTGGATTTCAGTAAAGCATTTGATAAGGTTCCCCATGGTAGGCTATTGCAGAAAATACGGAGGCATGGGATTGAGGGTGATTTAGCGGTTTGGATCAGAAATTGGCTAGCTGTAAGAAGACAGAGGGTGGTGGTTGATGGGAAATGTTCATCCTGGAGTTCAGTTGCTAGTGGTGCACCTCAAGGATCTGTTTTGGGGCCACTGCTGTTTGTCATTTTTATAAATGACCTGGATGAGGGCGTAGAAGGATGGGTTAGTAAATTTGCGGATGACACCAAAGTCGGTGGAGTTGTGGATAGTGCGGAAGGATGTTGCAGGTTACAGAGGGACATAGATAAGCTGCAGAGCTGGGCTGAGAGGTGGCAAATGGAGTTTAATGCGGAAAAGTGTGAGGTGATTCACTTTGGAAGGAGTAACAGGAATACAGAGTACTGGGCTACTGGTAAGATTCTTGGTAGTGTGGATGAGCAGAAAGATCTCGGTGTCCATGTGCATAGATCACTGAAAGTTGCCACCCAGGTTGATAGCA